GCACTACCCATGCCCACTGTTGGGCAGTTTTCCTTCAGTACAGAAGCCTATGCAGAAGCACTCTGTTCAGTCAGCCATGGTAGTATTAAGACAGAGGGAGGGATGAATCTGCAAATGGATTTACAGAGCCATCCAGCTCTAGGTGGAGGTAGGTTAACGCCACACACAGTTTTTTCCACCCTATCCGAAAACACACGTGATTGATTGAACAGAGCTCCCCAGGCTAATTCCTTTGGCAAAACCTCCTTATTGTTGACAAGATGATTAGGAAAGCACCAGGAAATTTATTTGAATTTGCAATTGCTTTTTCTCTCCTGTCAATTTCTTTATAAGAGGAAATTATCCAGACCGATGTTGTGGCTGCAGGTCAGATCTGATCCTAGGACTTGTACCACTCCAGACAGCTCTGAACTCTTCCTTGCATGCCTGCTTTATCTTACCCACCAACATCACAGCTGTGAACATGGGAACTGTACCGTGGAGATCCCCAAAACAAAGCTGCAGGAAAATTTCACTGTCCCGCCCTACACCACAGTGTGCATCCATGATACATTCAAGTGCTAATCTGCAGAGTGAAATCCACAGCAGTGTCCACTGTTGCCCATGGATCCCATGAGACTATCACTCTCTATGATTTGTAGAGGTAAAGCCTTGACAACATTGGAGGCAATGGGAGTTCGGCATTTAACGGGAGTTCTGCTGTTGGTTTAATGAGGCCAGAAGCCACTCCGAAGACCTAAATCCTTGTGACCCTTCACACAGATGATCTCCCCAAGAGAGATGTACCAAACACTTACCATTCTCCCTTTAAACTCAGTCACAAGTGTACAATAAAACCTAGCTCGCCCAGATTTGTGGCTCCTTGGAGATTATCCTGGGTTACACAGATACATAAATGTAGTTGCACGTATCTGCAAAATCCTGATTTCATGAGATCCTAATAATTTCTCTTATTTAACATCTGTTTCACGTAAATATATTTTAAGTTTCCTACCATTTGCTCATAAATATACCACAACGTTTCTAGAATTTAAGAAAGCTAAAAATACTTTTTACAAATATCTTTAAAGAGAAATGATTCCCTGAAGATGCTATGAGTGGAGGCTGTTCCTATATCAGCCCTTATCTTTGATTAACCACTTAAAAAAAAAAAAAAGGAATAGATTAATTATTAAAATTAGTCCTGTAGTGCACCTGAGCGCACTGAGTGAAACCTGATTCCCACTGAATCTCGGGGGGAGGGAGGGCTGAGGATGCTCAGCACCTCACAGAAGTGGGCTTGCAGGGAGAAAGTCGGAGGTTTCCTTTGTGAAATAGCAAGGACTGAGTGCACTGTTCACCCAATAGCCTTTTGGGGTGGTTTGTTAAATAAATAAAGAGAAAATAATAATTCAGTTCTGGGCTTGGAATCAATGCAATTGCTGAGAAGCCCCTCTGAGGACATGCAGCAGTTTCTCTGACTGCTCAGCCATGTAATAACACTGAAAACAAAGGCAGAAGAACTTACCGCGTCACACCGTAATGTCATTATTCACTTGATAAAACTGTGGCCATGCCGCAACGTTTCACGCTTTGGGTTTGCCCAAAGCGGCAGAGCAGCTCTGCCCATTCTACAGGTAACTTGTCCCCAGAGCCGGTGTGCGGCGGCAGCAGCAGTCCCCAGGCTGGCCCTCTCCAGGTCTGTGCGGAGCCCGTCCTCAGCTTGGTGACACAGCCGCCTGCACGCCTCGCCCTGCTCCGGCTTCCTGCCTCTCCGGAGGCAGCGTGCCTTACGCTTGCCATTTCATTCTCATGCACCTTGCCTGTCACCTTAAGGCAGCCTTAATTACAGTGTCATCGAAGGTTTATTCAACAAGATCTGAAGATTGTGCTTTAATTAAAAAAATGAAAACACACGATTACAACCAAAGTAAGTATAAAACACAATATTTGCCTATAAGTAGCAGCTGAAGCCTTTTTAGATGTTTCAGTGTCTCTCATCCAGAAGTCCTTCAGTTTGTCCCAGCTGGAAGATTTGGGGATCCAGGATTCCTTGTGCCTATCTATATTTTGGATGACTTTTACAGCCTACTATCTCCATTTCTGCTCATTTGAAGCTCAGTTTTGGATACAAATTCTAATGCCTTAAGTAGTTGTATCTTTGGCCAGGCATTTTGGGTGATTTGACGTCCCATCCCATTTATTGAAATAAGTATGGCTCCTTGGGGATATCAGTTATATAAAGGCCATTTCCCCTTTAGTCCTACTCAGTCCAACTTCTCAGTATCCCTACTCAGTCCAACGTGAACTTTTTACTTTACGTTTCCCAGAAACAGCTGAGGCTACTAGTATGTTCATAGCAAAGAACATGCAGAGTATCAGGTTGAAGCAGAATATGTAAAATTTAGGATACCTGTTGGATTACCAGTTTTCTCTGAAGGCCACACTTGACACATTATTCACGTTAGCTAGGTTTTTTCTCCTGGATTTACCCATGAGTTCATGTTATTTTTTTCCCTCAATTTTTGCTGCATTTCTGTGTCACAGGATGGTTCCAACTAATTTGTGGTTACCTATTTTGTCCCCCAAAGAACAAAATGCAGTTCCAGAAGCCTCTAACTTAGGCTGAAAACAAAACAAAACAAAACCAAAAACACTACGTTGCCTAAAAGCTACCGAGCAAAAAGTTTTGAGACACTGAACATTGTGTAAAGGCAGTCTATGCACTTTACTATAGATATTTTTTATTAATGGAATGCTTCAAAATGGGGCAAAAAACTACTTAAGACTTTAATAAATCTTGGAAATGACCGGGTATTTCAGAAGTTAAGCTCACCCTCATTACCCTGTAACACTACCTCCTGTGAGGCTACCTGAGACGTATTGTACAATAATTGTGTTCTGGCAGCTGACTCCGAGAAGCCGGCATTAACCTCTCCCGTTCCCCTGATACGTACAGATTATTCCCATTAGAATGGATTGATGAATGAAAAGATCATAGTTAATGGGTATTACTTTAATGCAGAGGGCCAAATCCTATTATCCTGTGCAACGGACAGTGTAAATAGCATTTGTGTAAAGGAACCCTGCTGGGAAAAAGAGAAACGGAGTCTGCTGCCGCGAGGCCCCACATCTGTCCGTTGCCCGCCCCATCCTTGCTCAGCAAAACCTCTCCAGTTCTGCAGCTGGTGTATGTGGCCGAAGGATAAGGGGGTTGGCCCACAGAGCTTCTTACAGAGCCTATTAATGGCAACAGGAAGGCTCTCATTGACATTAGTGATCTTGGTGACGGGCCGGCGGAGAGGAAGGTTGGTCGTGTGGTTTGTGCTTGCAAGCTTGATAACAGTTTCTGAAGAAGCAGCAGCATGTATTCTCCGTTGTCGTGGTACTTTGATCACATTTCACCCTACCTTTTCCAGATTAATAAGTGCGTTAGTGGGTTATGCAGATTACAGTGTGTGCACTAAGTTATTTGATATATTATTCACCAACAAATATAAGATAAAAAGTAAGTCTGCATATAATTACCCACAACTGTTGACTGACTTATAATTAACTTTGAAAAATTGCTGGTTTAGGAGATATTATAGATGACAATTTTAAATGTAAGGAGCTTCAGAATAGCTCTCACGATCAGCGCAAATACAAGGTATTAGGATTAATTCCCTAAACTGCTAATCAGCTCTATCTCCTGTCTTATCAAATTGTAAATACATTATGCTGTATTAAAGTATGAGCATGCAGCTAATTAAAGCAGAACCTGCATTTAATATCTCATACTCGCCCCCGACACAACAAACATGTTTTAAGGACATACATAACAAGTGTTAACAAATGAAAGTGATTCTTTTTAAAGTGATGCTATGCTCCTACCGCAGCTTTTTGTTTTCATTTTGGAGGAATATTTTTTAAAGAAAAAGAAGAAGGGAGGAAAACCATACAGTCTTTCTGGAGAAACAAGTTGGGGAATACATTAATTCTATTCATTCTACAGCTGGAAGCCCACAGGAACCAACCAAGGGATTACAACCAAGGATCAACAAATAGTATCTGGATGACATCCAGCCAAAATTTGGTTTATTTACTAACATTTTTAATAGATTCTGATGTTAAATTCTGCAAAGGAAAATAAGAGTTTTTTAAAAAAGCAAGAAAGCAAACCCATCCACATTGTTAAAGGAATGCAGTATAAATTTAAATGAAAGATCAGCGAAGCCTAGCCGAGCAAACTGAGGTTCAGAACCATAATTGAGCATCATTTGCAAAACTGCTTCTTTTAGTTGCTTTTTTCTGTTTCAAACTGAAATAAAGCGATGCCATTATAAAGAAAGCAGGAAAAAAAAACCATACTGAAATTATTCACCCATGAAACAAACATAAAATATAAGAGAGGATACGCAGCAAGGAGCCTTTCAACCAAAGTTAGTTTTTTAAAAATTCTTTGTGTAAACCTCAAAGATTTTTTTATGCCACTTGAAAGTTTTCACACCCCAAAGACCTCAGAACATATGATGTTATTAATGTTACTGAGCAACAAGAGACAGACATTTTGTCAATATTTATGTGATACAGTACAGTAGAAAATCTAGGGGTGGGGAGGGGCTTTTTTGGTTTTCTCCATTTCCCTTTCCTTTCCTTTCTTTCCTTTTCCTTTCTTTTCCTGTCTTTTCTTTTCTTCTTCTCTTCTTAAACATCTCTACTTAGAGGAAAAAAAATCTCATCAGGAAATCAAAAAGATTTACCAATAAAATCAATGAACATTTGTAGACTGTTGGTAGTGACACTGTTGAGATAAGGTAGAGTTACAGCCCTGTTTGATCAGTGTTTATTACAGGGCTCATATTTTTTTAATAGAAGTGGATCAGAAAAGCGTGGGGTTTTTTCCCCTCCCAGCACTGAATTATGTAGGTTTCATATACACAGAAACTTTATCTGGCTTGTTTCATTTAAATGTGTAACTGTTACCGAAATTCAAAAGCATCCTGGTTTGAACTAAAAGTGCCTTTCTTCACTCCCCCCAGGTTAATTTGTTGGCTTTTGGAGTGATTATTTATAAAGTATTTCGACACACTGCAATGTTAAAGCCAGAAGTTAGTTGTTATGAAAATATAAGGTAAGTTTGCCATTTAATACAAAGTCTACCTTCTGTAAGTTTAAATACAGCCAGAGATGAAAGTGAGTATTCAAAAATAACAATTTAATTTTCTGGAAGGTTTGTAGAAAAAGAAAGATTTTTTTTTTTTTTTCTGTTATCCCTCATATAGATTTGGAGGTAGATTTTGCAATCTTTATTTCCATTGAGCAATACTTTGTACAGTAACACTGGGGTTGTGTGAGAGGTGTACGAGGAATACGAGTGGCCTGTATCAAAAAGAGGGTAAAGCCTGATGGCAAGGTTAAAGAAGTAATCGCCCTTTTTTGCTTAAGTACCTTCCACAGCCTCTGTGAAAGCCAAACCAGATTTCAAAACTTATGCCTGAATTGGGACCAAAATATTTGCCTTGAAGTAACAAGTAATACGGTGATAAGAGAATCACGCCATTCATGTTATTTGTAAAAAGTCAACAGTAGGACATTGTGTTTCTGTGGCATTGGGGGGTACAGGGATTCTCTCCAGGATTTTTACTTTGCATGCTGCTATGATTTTTCCATCAGCTCACTCTCTTTAAAACTGATATATAGGGACCTTGAAAACCGTTTGTGCAGGAAAAGCTGAAGTGTACTACAGGGAACATTGAAAACAACTTACTGTTTGTGTTGCTTAGGAACACTCCTGCAGTTTCAATGCATTGCACTAGATTTATAGTTAGGATTTAGCAATTGTTTGATTGATTACTTTCTCTTATTCCTCACCCTTTGTAGCTTCATGTGGTGAGCTGGTTTTAATGAAGTTGAAAATTATTCATTTTCAGAGGAACAGTGCTAAAAATGTTGGTTGTTCAAAGGAAGTCCTGCAATGACTGGGCTGAGAATGAATAAGAAAGTAATCAGTGGCTTCATTTCCAAGACAACATGCTGTAATTTGCTCAAGTCTGTGCGCAGGGCTCTACAGCATGTTGGAAAAAAAAAAAAAAATCATAGCCAATCAGTTCCTATAATATTAAAGCATCAATATGCTGACCCAGGAACTATTTGGGAGTATTTGTGTTCTAAAAACAAAAATAATTTTTTTTAAAAGAGAAAGAATGAAAGAAGGAAAGTCTAGTTTTACAGCTGGCACCGTCTTCTGCAGTGAACCTGAGAGGCAGCCTGGGAACCCTTTGATGTCATGCACATGTACTGACCTAAGAGCATACTGTACATTTTTCTGGGTTATTTTTTGAGGAGGATAAGGGGGAGGTGGAAAAGTGGGGGAATGCTTCATAACAGACATATGTTTTTCCTTGGGGAATTACACTAACAGTAGATTTAAATCAAATCATATGGTGCTGCAGCACACCAGAGAAAGCATATCTGAAGATTAAAGAAGCCAGTGTTTTAAGGCCCTCCAGTTTTACTCCTTTGCTCTTTTGCAGTGATTATGTGAGCCAATTTGTGCCACAGTGCTACAGCACACCCTAAAGAGCAGCCCATGCATTTGCACTCCTCAGGCCTTTGCAACCGTAAAAAAGTTGCCCAGGCAGCATTCACCATCCAAAGCGGTGAAGGAAGGAAAAGAGCACGTGGCTGCATGTTGTCCGCAATGTTCCCTTCCTGTCTAGGTCCTGTGCCCGAGGCGCTCTTGCTCTCCTGTTCCTCCTTGGGGCTACCTGGATCTTCGGGGTCCTCCATGTCGTACAGGGATCTGTGGTTACTGCGTATCTTTTTACAATCTTCAACGCATTCCAGGGGATGTTCATCTTCATATTTCTTTGCGTGTTGTCTAGGAAGGTAAGTGTCCCATTCCTTGTGGGAAGTGACTCGGGTAGTCACATGTACCTACAGAGGCAGGTGCCCAGCCCTGAAGCAGAGTCACGGTGCAAACTTTTTATCAGAGCAAGGGAGGAAATCCTTGTGCCATTGATGGGGGAGAGGAGAAAAGAGGGGAAATCCTGCTATTGCTTTCAGTGGAGACAGAACGTTCTTACCTTCTCACGTATTTTCTCCCAGTTTTAAAAACAATGTATGAAATGTGGAAAAACATTTTTTAAAACTGCAGAACTGGTTATAGTGCCATTAACCCAGTGAAATAACTCAATGGGTGCAATAAAACTCACTTCCGATCTTTGTGGTTAGCAGCAGCACGCACGCTACCCACACTGTCCTGAGATGATACTTCCTTCAGCATCCTGTCCTAAAGTCAAAAGCAGTCCCACCTTAAAGCATCTAGTGACAGGAGCAGTACAAAATGAGTTAAAAGACATATAGACCTATTAATAAATCCATTTCATATTTGAATTCAATATTTTTATTTCAGATTCAGGAAGAGTATTATAGGTTGTTCAAAAATGTCCCTTGCTGTTTCGGCTGCTTGAGATAAATGGAAGGAAAACATGCGTGAACATCTCAGTGGAAGAAGGGAGCAACCTAGATGATATTGTTATGGATATTACAGAAAAATATGGTATTGTGAAAGCATGAAATGACCCAGTGAGCAGGCATATCTCTTAATTGAATTACTGACTGGTTTTGTACATATGTGCACATTCACACAGAGCATCGATATTATGCTGTGTACAAACAGTATACAAAACAAAGTGGATTATTGCAAAATGGATAATGAAGACCAGGAAAAGAAGCAAATTTCTAAAGAAGCTCAAGACTTTTCATGATTTAGGTTTTGTTTCTATTATTAGAAATATCTGCAGTTTTTGAAAGCAGGATATCAAAAAACAACTGGCACAGCAGATTTTATTAATTGCTTTGCTAGTGGAAACATGTTCACTGTCTTTTTGTAGTAATGAGCTTCTTACATTAAGTTGTATGTGGCCATCTGCAGGGAATGGGTTCCATTAGAGTCAATAGATAAAGATCTGCTTCAGCCCAGACTTTTGAAAACATTTCTTTTAATTTAAAGTAGATTAAAAAAGGAATTTGTTTAATGTTATTCTCTTATCACTCTGAAATATATATTTGTATATTAATCAATTCTTTATTTTTATAACTTTTAAAGAACTGTTTAGATCTAAAGAGCTGAGGTCAGATCTGATACAAGAATGGTGGGGCAGCCATTTTATAAGTGAAAGATTATTTTGTGAATACTTTAAAACAGATCTGGTTCTTGTTTTATTTAATTGCCAAAAAAGGCTGAGATCTGCTAAACTGGCACTATGATTTTGGAGGCTGTAGGAAGAAGATGCTTTCACAAGTTTGTCACTTGACAGAGATATTTGGAATCCAGACCTTGTAGGATCAAATTAAAAATAAAGTGGTAGAAATCACCCATGCAGAAGAATACAGATTTAAATTCAAGGTCGTGTGCCTCCATACCACGTAAAATGGTAATTACAGCAGTTTTCTCTACTCATAGCATCTTTGAGTCAAGCAGTCGTCTTCCTCTGAGGCTCCTGGTTTTGAAACACTTATCCTGTGTTTAACCTTAGGAGCATACATAGATCTACTGAAATCAAAGGGAGTACTTGAGGTGCATGTTTTGCTGGATCAGGGCATAAACACAATGCATCAGCAGTTCCACCTTTGCCATCTTACTTATTTTAAAAGTATGCTTTAATTTCACCCTTTTAGCACCTAGCTTATGTGAAGTGCTGAGCAATCCTCAGTCCACATTGCCTTCTCAGGAAGTGTCTAGGATCTCAGATGAAGCCCAGTATTTTTACCAGTGAGGCACTGTAAATATGTAGTTGTTAATAAATCCCACTGTTGTGTTGTCTGTTAAAATAAAGCACTGCTCTGAATTTTATTTATATTAAAGGAATCCTTTTTTTGGTAATGATCAAAATTGTTTGGTTTTTATCTTTTTTCCATATACACAAGGCTTTCATTGTATGCACTGAAGTGACATGTTTCATTAAGTATATTCCATGTCTCTGTCAAAATTTTGGAAACCACAAGAGGAATCTTTTTTCCTGAAAAAAAAATTATTTCTGTTGGTCCTTTGAATGTAAAATATGTGAATAAACTGAAGTGCTTAACTTTCACATTTTGACATGTTTCCCTTCATTTAAATAAATACAGTGGTAAAAGTTCTCATGGTTATATATTATTTGCCCTGAATTATCTGCTGTATTTCCTTTGCTGTTGTATATGTTTTTCCAGGCTTGGGAAGATGCAGATACATGTTATTTAAAAGAGTATTTTAGAAGGACATCTACTAATACATCATTTTTAATCTCCTGCAGAAATGTAACCTATAGTAACTTGGCCTGGACAAAGAAGCATCTCTTGTAACTATATAATGACTTCAGCATGCTCAGTCAGATTGAAAAAGTTCCTTGGAAAGAAAATATATCATGAAGTGTTTAGGTTACAATAGTCTTTTTAATGAAAGAACATCTTTCATAGGAAAACTGTGCTCTCCAGTCTCTAGGTCAGATCTTCATTGAAACTCTGTTTTCCTTACATGCAAGGATGAGTTTTCATCTTTTAATACAGCACATAAGGAGCAGAAAAATTTTGTTTAGATTCATTGCCTTAGAGCCTGAAGGATATTGTAATTGTCCTCCCTAATGCATGCACAAATACTGACGAGAAATAAAAGGGTTTATTTGTCACAGCCCTTAGTAACACAAGCCCCAACCCAGCAGAGAGGAGAGACAATGGACATAAACTGAAAAAAGAGAGGTTTCAGCAAGTTAAGAAGAAAATACCTTTTCACCGTGAGGATAGTCAAGCATTGGAAAGGGTTGCCCAGAGAGGTTGGATGGCTGCATTAAAATCTGTGGAGGTTTTTAAGACTGGATCAAGCACCCAGCAACCTGATCTCCTACCTGACCCTGCCTTGAGCAGGAAGGAGGATGAGATGACCCTCTGAGGTCCCTTCCAGCCTGAATTGTTCTATGAATCTACGATATGAAATATCAAATCAGAAAAATAACAGTTGAGCATCAGTTATGATTTTGTTAAGCAAACTTGCACTCAAGTTCCATGCATCAGCTGAACAAACTGTTTTTCAAAAAAAAAAATTTTGTGACAGATTTGTCAGCTCAACTGGTAACTAGTTGACTGGTTTGAAAAATAAAAACTTTGTTTGGCATCTTTTCAGCTTACATACTTTGAGAGGTATATGACATCTCCAGGTGGGGCCAGCAGGAAAAAAAAATACATCAATGATTGACAAGACAGGTAAAAAGTAAAACGTTAAGGTTTCACTCTGAAAACAAGTGCTTGCTGAAGAGAGAAATTGTTTCCATTAAACCAATCAAAGAGAAATTTGTGTTCAATGTTGCATTTCAAGGTGTGCTTCAGAATATAATAAATAAGGTCTGGATTAAGAAAGACTGGTTTATTCTGGAATAATTATTTCCTCAAAGAATTGGAAGTGTATTTCAAAGAAACCGCAACATTTAGGAGTTAATTTTCATCACAGCCTTTGGGAGGCTCAGTCTGCCAGAGCTGTGCTGATGAGCAGATCGTCTGTGTTCTTTGCCTACTGGAATGAAGCAGGTAGGCATTGAAAACACCATAGATACTGTTCAAATTTATTTCAGATTTTCATCCACTCTCCAGTTGTCACAGTCCTTCAGTTCATAACATGGTGGTGCCCCGAAGCCAGGAATTTCAAACTCATGCGTCTTATTGACCAGCCATATAAAGCAATGTTGCACATGGTGGCATTAGGCAGAATGAACTAATATTTGCAGGCCTGATTTCTCTGGCTGCTACACCTCCTGCATCACTTTTCTCACCAATAATACCACTTTTTATATCTATGTCATGACAGTCCCTTAAAGCCCAGTCCAGAATCACGCTCTTGCCAGATGCCAGTTAGTCACTGGAGTCCTGCCTCCTTCTTTGAAACCTTTATAGATGAGATAAAAAAGCCAAAACTTAACCCATGAATAAAGTTAAAACTTTCTTTCCTTTGTAAAAAGAGCTAATAGGAGGAGGGCTCCTAGCCAGCAACCTGGTCCAGCGTGTGTTACTCTTTTCACTTTGTTCTCATACATTCAGGACACACAGCATTACTGTGCTGTGAGATTGCAGAAGTGAAGATGCTACCTCACCAAAGTCATCTCCCAAAGCTATTTTTATACAAAATTAAGCATTTAAGATGGATGCTGACTTGAAAACAGCTGGTCATCAATGCACTGATACTCCATTTAACCACAACCAAAATGTCAAGTGCAAATGTGCTAAAAAAGCATTTTCACAAGTTGCCTGGCTCCCTGCCGGCTCAGCTCTCATGGCCATTGTGGTGGGCAGCCTGTCCATATAGACTGCAGCCATGTGAAAGACCTACTGCCTTTTCCAGACTCTGTATCTCCATGACAACCCTCCCAAACAAACCCTACGGAGAGCCAAGAGCCCTTGCAATACCCGGACTTTGCCAGGAGTCACATACATGGCCACGCATGGTACCCAGAGGTCCAGGAACTGCTGCTTTGAAACCAGCTGCAAGATGTGACATACAGAAAGTACCATAATTCCGTCAACTTTACTGTTACACAGCAAAATTGACAGCAGCAATTCTACTGGGTGAAAAGAACAGAAAGTATGAAAAAAAACCACACAACAAAAAGTAGCAGTAAAACTGGCTGCTGAGAATGTACTCATTTTTTTTTAAGCTGGAACAAAAAAAAGCTTAAAGAGCATACAGATATTATCATGGAACATAAACATGAATTTTAACTGATTATATTTTTGATAACAAGATCTTTTTTTTTTTTTTACTGAGGCCTTATTTTTACATCTTTCCAATGAAGTGTTGCACTTTTCCCAGAATTCCTTTTGCAGAGTTATCCCTTTAAATTTGGCAGAAGCTTTACTTCTACAGACATTGTTTTACAGCTCTTTGTTTTTTCTTGTCTTGCTGGTAAGTACTCAAATTTTATTGTATTTACTCCTTTGGATTCCCAAGGAAATAGCATATTTTCATCAGGTTTCATAATATAAAGGAGCTCTTCTGTTTTCTGAAGCATTACCGAATATTCTAATTAAAACTATCTCTAAGACTAGCCATCAGCCTTCACTGCAGTGCAATAGGCACCTCCCTTCAGTGTAAGCCTTTGTATTTATTGTAACTATTTATAAAAACACTGCAGTCAGCTCTGAATCCACCTAAACCTAACACCATTTAAATTAATTTTGTAAGACTTTTGTGAGACACTGCTGAATAATTTAGTCAAATCCAAGCTGACTATAACCAGTTCTTTTTTACAATAACCAAGTTTGAAATCTGTGCTTTGAAGAAGCAATCCAGTTTATCTTGTAAAATGTGATGGGAAATACTATGTCTCTAATACCCATAATCAGTTGTGTTTTAATCTGGGCGGGGATGTTTTCCTCCTGTGTTTGGCCCACCATTATTGGGCCTAATGGATTGAGTTAAAGGCAGAAATCTTCAAAATCCCACTCCTCTCTGTCTTTGAATGTTTCTACACTTAACAGGCTTCTGGCACCACCTTGGCTTCTGATGGGTTTCAGAAATAATTGTTGATGATACAGTAAATTTGTTTTCTATCCCTTGTGTTTAA